CAGAGAGCCACCACCAACCACCATCACCAACCAGAGAGCCACCACCACCAACGGTGCTGGGGCGCGCCGTCTCCCGCCCTCGGGGAAGCAGCCGGCGGGCAAACCCGGTGGTATGAGCGGCCTAGACCGTGGCCCGCGTTAGGGCAGCGCCCGCAGACGGATGTGCTGAGGTTTGCGGGGCTGTCGTTTCTCGCGGGTGAGTGTCTGCGCCGCCCGCTGGTGCCCGTGCTGAGCTGGGTCCTGCCGGGCGGTGTTTCTCCAACCACGCGGATGAAACAGCATCCAGGGGTTTCCATCGACAGTCAGGGATCTCTTGACTTCGGGTTTCAGGCAAGTATGGGAGACGGAGTGGAGGGCCGCAGTGACGCACCCACGCACCTCCCCTCCCAGCAGGGGCTGTGATCGGGGGGAGGGAACAAGGTCCGGAAGGGACCTCAAGAGGAGCGAGGCTTCGTCCCGGCTATAAAAGTCCAGCAGGCCAGTCCTGGCCACGCATCAGGGACCCGCCACGCATCAACATTTGTGAATACTGCGAGGGGACCACAAGGAGTCCAGCAGACAGTGTGGGCCGGCTATAAAAGTCCAGCAGGCCAGTCAGCCCTCCACTGCTGGTCTGCTCAGGCTGAGACTCCGCTTCACCCAGAGCAGGGATGACTCCCTCTCCGGCCTCCTCTGGGAAACAGGACGGCGTCAGCAGGGTTCGGGGGAGGTCACCGGGCGGGGGCTGCGCTCGCAGCACTGTGCCTGCGTCATGGAAATGCTGATGGTTCACCCCTTCTTGGGATAAATGGATCTCCCCTCAAGAGCCACACCCGAGGTCCCCATGGGTGTCTGCAGGGCCACCCCACTGCCCTCGGAGCCCCATCAGAGGAAGAGCATGCTGCCTCTTCCTCGGTTCTTTGAGGCAATTACCCAAAAAGACCGAGAAGCCAGGCCCATTTCCACGACGCCAAGTACACATAGGGACCTTGAGAGTCTGTTTATTCCCGTCCCGTTACCGCTCCGCTTTCCTTACGCCTGTAGCCTCAGGTCCAAAAACACCTAAGTGCCGTCTTCCCCCTTCAACCTAAAGATTTCGAGGTTAAGGGTGACAATTTCTTTTCATCAGGGCATCAAATACACACACTGGGGTTGAAATGCACAAGACATTGTTAAAATCTCAGTTATTATTAAATATGGGATGGTAGGGTCTTTTCAGTCCTATTGCAGTTGTCGAACCTACTGGGCTGCCGGAGACACGGCGTGAGCTTCTGGTGCGTGAGTTCTGAGCTGTGTGGGATTCTTAGCACGACCTGCAGCCTGAGCAAATCACGGGATGACCGCAGGGGCGACCCCGGTGTGCGGCCCCGGGAGTATTCTGCACACAGAGAACCTCTTTCCTCTATAAAGCAACAATGCACAGCAGTTTACTCCCAGGTGTATTACCGAGAAAGCAGAGGCCTTCCCTCCCTGCATAGACAGGAGACTCCTTCCAAAAATTCTGAATTCTAATGACCTGAGGACCAAAAATCCACAGAACTGAAAAATCTAGATTAAAACAGGATCTAAGAGGAAACTGGGCTTAAAAAAAAAAAAAAAAAAAAAAACTACTGTCATCATAAAGAAATTTTCAGTTTCTCTGAAAATCAAATATATTTTACAAGTTCCTAAGTTAAAATTCCAAAAGGGAAACCAACTGTATCCATCAACACAGAAACATAACTGGGGTGTTTTAAATAAGGCCTTGTGTATCCGTGACGGGCTGTTCGTCCCAGCGCCGTGTGGAGAGCAGCTCAGCAGAGCCAGGAGCGCAATGTCCCCACTTTAGCCTGAGGCCTCGCCCATTCTGCTCCCGCTTAGTCACCCCGGCTAACGACAAAAAAG